AAAAAAAAACAATTTACAAAACTTCCAGTACATTTTCTAAAACGTCATGTATTTGCACTTTAGAACGAACGATCTAGAATTGGAACTGGACGACGACTTTTGCTCATCAGATTCTTCACCTCTGGTTTCACCTAGTTTGCGAACTCCTGCCATAGCCCTTCCCCCTCCTCCACCTAAAAGCGCTCCACCATTCTCGCAAGCAGCACAGGTAATGAGATTACCCACCTTCTTAAGATTGTTTTGAAAACCAAAGTCTACAGTTTACGAATTCTGCTTCAATCTGCAATGGAGACGTGTCACTCAGCAATGGTGGCACTCCAACGACGCTTCATCCAGATGATAGTTTGCTTCGACCAAGAGATCTAGAAACGAATGGCAAAAGAGTGGAAATACAGGTTTGCTTGTTTTCATATTTCTGGTTTGGAGAGAGTTTAATCTAAATGGGATAGAGTTGTTACGCTTGTGCTCCTGCTTTACTGTTTGGCTTACTGCGATATGAGCAAACCGTTCAAGAATGTGTTCAAAAAACGACATCGGAGTTGTTGAGTGCCATTAGAGACAATTAATGAAGTGAAGCTTTTTGAAAATGCATCAAATACGTTCTTTCCACCGAAATACATAAGACTGGTTAAAAATTTTCACATGTTTTTATAGCGCTATTTCTTGATCTCAACGGATTCAAATCGCTTCTGGAAGAGTAGAGAATGCGTTTTTCGACTACCTAAGGCACTATAGAAGACCAGCAATTTCTCAAAAATGGATAGTCAAAGATAACTACTTAAAAATTGTGTTTTTGAAGTCACTACTAGCAAAGGTGGAAATGTAACTGGATAAGCTGGATACATCAATGATAATGCTGCGAGAGCACTGCCTCATAAGCCACATTTTCGCGCTCATGTCAGCTCTCAGGAGATAGCAGGGTAGCATGTTGCGAAGGAACTGATTACTCGATAAATGATTGTCAGGATTTCCAGGCTATTGTCTGCAATGGTGATGAAACAGTAACTGCATAGATCTACCATGTTCAACTTTTGGATGTGGCGAGTCAAGCTTAAAATCTGCCCAAGGACTGATTTCTTATTTTCGAGTACACAGCGTGGCTAATAGCTTACACTGATAGTTGAGATTTTGGTGGACAAAAATACAGTAACAATGGAGCAAGATCAAGAAAATTTGTTGTGTCAAAAAAAAGCCTAAGCATTGCTCTTTCGAACTACCACTTGGTTCTACCCGCAAAACAATGTTAGGATGAAAGTCAAGATATGCACTAGTCCTTGGACAGAAGTGAACAATGGGTATGGCCATTGGGTAAAAATTGCGCAATAGATTTTTTGCACTCAAATCAGAGACTGCTAAAGCCACCTCGACTTTATGCTTGCATGTAGCGCAAGGCCTATGGTATGAAATAAAATTTGTTTCGCCATTCCGCAGCATTTTGTATCAAATAAATTGAAAAAAGGAAAACACTACTCCAACTTAATACTCAATTCGTATACATTTTATTCAATTCTTACGCAAAAGCTTAAAAAAGCCCGTTCAAACATAGACAACAGAAGCTGCAATGTGCAGAGATGATCCAGTTTCACTGATTCATGATTCTTGAGAAAAGGCCAAGTTTTTGCAAAATGTTCGCAAATCAGTGAACGACGATTGGCTGATTTGCAAACAACTGAATCACGATGTGCCTCTCCACTTCCTCCTTTTGACCGCATTTTGCGAAGTAATTGTAGAGCCTGTTAGAACCATTTAGAAAGGTCGGAAATAGTTAGTTAAACGAACACGTCGCAAATTTCTCTTCAATTTCCTATTTCATATTAACACTTCGTTAATGGCAGCACTTACCTTACTCAGACTTTAAAGAACAAACCTAGCGTGACGCAATAAAAGGAGCTAGGAATAAGAGGCTGAGCAATCCTGACGCAGAATTTGACCAAAAATGCAGCAGGAAAACATTTGCCACAGTCTCACATTGTATTTGTTAGTGAGCTACAATCGAGATTTTGAAGTGTAACTACCTTGCAATTTGAACTTTTTATATCTCTACCCTTCAATTTCTAATCAGTGCATGGCGTCTGATCGAATTGAATCAGATAAAGGAGAAGGAGGGAGTGCAGCTTGTGTTTGAAATGTTCCGGCCGTTGGAGTCTTGTGATCTGCAAGAGCATCATTTGGTTACTAAGCAGCGCTTACATTCAAGAGTTACTTTTCCAAGATATCGTTTTTCTATGAAGGAAATGAAAAACTTAATTTGAATGAGTGTCGGACGTTGTTTGCGTGTGTATCCAAAAGGAGTATTTGAAA